TTTTTATTTTCAGCGCAGGTCTCCTTGACTTGACATCTGTATGACCAACTATCTATTTAATTCTGCTCTTGGATACATATCAATCAGTTTTAACCAAACAGTACTGTCCAAAACTATATTCTTGATTGTTGCTTCCTAATCTGCCTTAAAAAAAAATAAGTGTTCCAAATCACAGTAGAAGGCAACTTTCAGGTACTGCAGACAGAATCCTTGCATTTTTTACATCTCTCATTTATGCTCCCCATCAATCTATCAAAAGATTCTCTTGACTCCATCTTAACAAGACACTCAGGGCCTGATCACATTCTACTTCCAACACTATCAACCCAGTTCAGACCCACAACACACCTGACTGATCTGCATCAACAGGCTCCTAGCAGGAACAAGCTTCCTGCCTTTAGCCTTGGTCTACTATTATCTACTCTTAGCATAATCATCACAATGAGCCTTTTAAAAAACTAAAAGCATGTCACACTCACTGATACACCTATTGTGGGTATATCATTCAGGGTAAAGGCTGAAATCTTTAACATACTAATAACAAACACCTCTATGATGTCACTCCCTGCTTTCTTTGATGGCACCAGCTGTCACTTTCCCCTCTCTCCTGTTCCTGCTGCTGTGGCTGCAGTTAAAGCACATTCTCCCCTAAGACCCTTTTACTGGGTGTTACATTTGTCTGAAATGCTGTTCCACAAATCTGTATGATTAATTTTCTAAATCTGTAAGTTTTAACTCCAGTGTTACCCTTTCAAGGAGGCTTCTTCTAGAATGGACCACCCACCCTCTCCAGGTTCTCTCCTTTCCTTCTCTAGAGCACTTTCCATTCTGCCACTACACAGACCCCTCACCTGTAGTGTCTACTATTCCTGTGCTGACAGGTAAGGTGCATGGGAAAGGAACTCGTTTCCTGAGGCCACAGCTCCAGTGTTGACACCAGGGCAGGATTCAACAAATATCTGCTACATTAAGTAAATAAATATGCCTGGCACATGATGTGTGAGCAAGGGGAGAAGCATAAGATCCATCAATTCTTCCTTCCTGGTGCCTGACAGGAGCCATACTATTTTCTCTAAACTCAGAATTCCTGGTTTTAAATTGCCTTATTTCTGTTTGACTACAAACTTTATCATAATAGGGCAGTTACATATTCATATACACGTTTAAGCTCTCCTACCAGATTTCAGAAGATCAATTCTAAGGGACAGTGCTGAGTCCTACAAGTATTTTGTTTCCTCTACAGCAACTACCAAAATGGCCTTCACACAAGGGAAGTCAACAAATAGCCTCCAAGACACCATAACTACCATAAGCAGTGGTCCCTACAATACATTTCAAAGTGTCAAACTGAGACTTTACAAAATGTGTATGTGTATGTGTTAGACACGTTGATACATGTTAGAGTCTTCAGAAAGGTTCCTTAATGCAAGCATTTACAAAAGTCGCTTCAGGAAGCATTGCATCAAACCAGCAATGCTGCTTGCTGCCCACTGTTCATGGCACTTGTGAAAGATATGATACTACATAAGCCTCTTAAGAAAATCAGTCTTATTTTTGTTATACTTTCCTCCCTCCTAAAACAATATAACCTTATTCATCAGATTTGGAACAGAAAGATCTTTTGCTATTTATGAAAGTCAAATTCACCCTCACAGGATAAAGATGAGTCACTGCAGAGGGTATTCAAAAGATAAGCTCAGATTCTAATGTAAATTCTACGAGAATTTCAACAAAGGTGATAAACAAAGCTTTCCAAACTTATGACTATGGACAATATTCAGGACAACTAACACAGAGTCTCAGGATTTAAAAGTTAGTCATTACTTCACACATTCGCCTTAAAATAGAGTTCCTGGAAAACATGACAAGAAACTGCCTATTGCTAAACACAGCCCACAGTAATCTTCAGTGACATCCCCAAAAAGCAGAAAAACAGACAAAACTTAGGGGTGGCACTTTCTGATTCCATGGGATCCGGGCACTCTTGATATATTCTCATTCTCTCTCCCTATTCCCACCCCCTCAATGGTGAGGTTTCTAAGAGAATGTTAAAAGTATGCACACAATCACTAAACAAGTAACCAAAATTATCATCACCAAATGAGGGACAACCAAACACTAAGTGCCACATAGTAAAATGCCAAATGCAACATACAGCATCGTTCATTTACTACTTTTAGCAAAAAAAAATTTTAACCTAAACCAAACCATGAGAGAATACTAAATGAAATCCAGAATGTAAAAACCTCAGCAAGGTAAGTTGTCTACTTTTAAAAGAAACAAGTGTTTAGATCTGGGTGTGGTGGCACATGTCTGTAATCCCAGGCACACAGATATCATGCAATCCCAACAGAAAGCCTTGAGACAGACCAAGCATCACTTCTTTAACATTCTTGCCAAAAATGCATAATCTAAATTTTCCATGAAGAAATATCCAAACCTGAAGTGAGAGACATTCTATAAAGCTGGAAGTAGTACTCTTCAAACCTGTCAAGGTAACTAAGGAAAAAAAAAAAAATCAATGAGGAATTCTCAGATCATGACAGATTAAGGAGACAACTAAATGAAATGCAGAGTTCTGGATCAGATCTTGGACCAGAAAAGTGACATTTGTGAAAAAATTGGTAGCGTCTGAATAAAGTATATAGATTAGTTAGCAAAAATACACCAGCATTAATTATCTGATCTTAATAGTTGTGCTATAGTTACATAAGGTGTTCGTATTTGGGGGAGTTGGGTACAGGATACATGGAAATGCTTTACATTATTTTTGCAGATATTCTGTAACCCTGAAATTTAAATTGAACAGTTAAAAACTAAAGTAAGGGCATTAACAACAACAAAAAAGAAATAGTTATAAAAAAAACAAAAGGACATGGAATACTCTTCTAGATTTGAAACGGCCACAGATATAACCAAATACAAAACTAGATCCTGGACTGGAAAAATAAAACAAAACAAACACAAAACAGCTACAAACTGGAGAACTCTAGCTCTGAATAATTTATTAAAAGATACTACTTACTAAATTAATGTTAACATTCTTACGTGTTATACTAGTGTTGTGATTATAAGACCACTGTTAGGAAATGCATCCTAAAATAATTAAGGATCTCCTTGTTATGACAATGTAACTTACTTGGAAATGGTTCTATGCAAGAGAAAGATTTGGAGAGTGTAAAGAGGTATAGCTCTCATAAAAAGATCAATTTTCCTTTAGAAGGAGTTGTTTAAGTATTCTGCAATTATAGTCTTTCTTTTAATTACATCTGATACAACTACTATTTAAGGAAGTGAAATTTCAATTTAATATTTCTACATTTTTCTGTACTTTTCAAACTATATACTTTTAGTAGTAAGTTAGTACTAAACAATATCCATTCTAATAAAAAGTGAAATTGGTAAGTCTCATTTAAATTGCATGGTAGCAGCAGTCCATTAATACTCAAGTACTTTGGGAATATCACCATCTCTTTAATGATTTTATAATTGAACTTTTTATTAATTTATAAATCATAACTGATATTCAGGCTCAAGTTCAAGTGAAGAAAACAAAACGTTAGTTGTTGATAAGCTGTTTCCCTATAACCTGCTATCATTCAGGGCAAATGTGATGAAATGACAACCAGCAGCATAATGCTGAATTTTTGACTTCACCAGATACATGGTAACTTCAAATAGGGAGGTACAGATTCACATTAAAAAGGGAAAGGAAACATTTATTTTTCCCACAATATCCTCCCATCATACGAATTATCTCCACTTATTTTCTATCCATCTTTTGGTTTCAACAGCTGCTCTTATCTAAAAAAAAAGAGGAAAAAGAGAGGCAGCTGACAGTGCAGTCAGGCTCAGGTGTCAGCACCACACCTTCCCAGGAGACCACACCCCTGACCACTCATACAAGCGTAAGTAACAGTGCGCAAACTGAGAAGGGAGAAACAAGTGTCACCTACTGTCTCTAGTATATAACAGAAGTGTTCATTACCAAAAAGAGGCACCTTCAAGCTTGTTTTCACATGGCAAAATTCACCAATTTAGAAGCAGAATGTTTTCTACAAAGTAATGTCTTCATATGATGATCATCTGGGAGAAAGGGAAAGGGAAGTGGAGAAATAGAAATGGCCAAAATACCTACAGATAAGAAAAATCTGTGAATAGAGCAGAAGAGGGTTTTTCTCCATGAAAAATTTCAGACTAGTTCCTTTAGGTAATACATACAAAATCTGACTTACAACAAATTGCTCTGCTATTAAGAAAAAAACCCAAAAAACAAAAATAGCCCTATTCAGGGTAAGTTAAGAATGTTAATATTAATGTAAAAGTACTGTGCACAAAAATTCTGTGTACATTTCTTTTTTTCTAAATGTGAATATGTGGCTTTATAAGGAATTAAATTCACTTTAAACAAAACAATTCAATGATACCTAACATACTAGGAGCCATGATTTTGAAAGCTGCTTAGGATAAAAGCAGCTAAAATATATTCTGTAGACTCAAGTTACCAAAAAAGAAAACCACTGTTTGTAAATAGATGAGGAAAATGTTGATTTGTTCTTTATGATGAATTTAATAAAAATAGAAAAATAATTCTATTCATGAGGAAACACAGCCCAAATTCAATCAAATCTACAAAAAGTAGATTTTAATTAACGCACTTAAAAGTGAAGAAGCGGTGAAAGAACTTAAGTGTATTGGGGAAAATTCAGCGAGTTCGTGAGAGAAGGTGACATTGAAGCTATAGCCCTTATTTCTGCACAATCTTTCCCATCTTATCAAACCCAAGAGTGCACTCACACAGTCTTCTCACTTCTGGTGGTTTTAATACAAAAGAAGTTGTACTTTAAGACATAGTCAATATTCAACTTACCAAGTCCAACTTTCCTCCTCTCTCAGTCTCTGCCACCTATTAACCCTGGTCCAAAAACATGACTTAACGTCATCAAAAAGTCACTGTTATCAATTTCCTAAGGTGCTGTTAACAAATCACTCTAAACTCATTATCTTTGAACAGAAATTTTATTCTCTTGCAGTTTTGGAGAACAGAAATTTACAATCAAGGTGTCTGCAGGGCTGGTTCCTTCCGGACTCTGAGCAAGCATCAGTTCGATGCCTCTCTCCCCCAGCTTCTGGCAGTTGCAAGTCAGCCTCAGCATTCCTAGGCTTGTAGATGCATTATTCCCCTCCGTCTTCCCAGTATCTTCTCTTCTGTATGTCTCTCTCTTTCTTATCAGTATAGTTTGTCATTTGATTTAAGGCTCACTTAGATAACTCAGGATGATTTCATCTCTAGATCCTTTAATTACATGTGCAATGATCCTCTCTCTAACAGTCACATTACAGGTTCCAGGATGATACATCTTCAACCCACTAGAGCCACTATCTTCCTAGGATTAGTAAATATTCGAATTAGCAATAAATGCTTAAGAATTTCAATGCTGGGGATGTAGTTCAGTAGTGGAGTACTTGCCTAGCATTCGCAAGGCCCTGGGTTTGATCTCCAGCACCACAAAAACAACAGCAGCAAAAAATCAGGAACCTGTCTTACCCTTTTCTCAGTTTAAGTTTTAATTCAAGTTTTATTAGTTTTCTGATAACTCTTCTCAAGTGGATCCATTCTCTTATGAATCCTCCTTCTAGTGCTTTCATTAGTTAGTGCACAAGGTGGGAAGGTAGAACAGGTAGCTATGAAAATGCATTTGACCAGTGACAGCATCTTCATGAATAATCAAAACAGAACAGTCTCACATGTTGATGTGGGTCATCTTCAATCTTATGTTTTTATTTCTACCTGCATATCCTAAGGAGGATAAATGCTCTCATAATAAGGCTAAACAAACAATTTTAACCTTCTCAATATGTAAGCATGTCTGCCATGCTCAACACTAGCTTAAACTTTTACATTGTTATTACATTCATACGCTAATACACTGTCATTTACATGTAAAAATTACCAAGAAAAGCTACCATAATGTACTAATTCTTAAAGGAAGTCCATCTTTTGAAAGAATGACCTCACAAAATGGAAATATCTACAAATTCTCTAAATCAAAATAACATAAAATTCAGACTTATTGGAGGTGCAATGTTTCATTATGAGTGTTGTGAAAGTGCTTTCTTCAAAGACTTTCAAAAAAAAAAAAAGCTTACCTCTCTCCAGTGGAAACAACAAAAGATAAATACAAACAGAAGTATCAAATTCAGTTAGGGTACCCACTAACCCTAACCTCTGTCCTGCTGTACAGAAACAAGGTAGGCAGAGCTCAGGAAGCTGCTATAGTTTGGATGTGGAATGTCTTCCAAAGTCCGTATGTTGAAAGCTTGTTCCCTAGCCAGTGGCACTACTGGGAAGACGTGGGACCTTTAGGAGGTAGAGCCTAGTGGGAAGAAGTTAGGTCACTGGAGCTTAATGGGATATTGGGACCCTGGCCTTCTTTTTACTCTTTGCCTCCTGCTGCCGGGAGGTGAACAGTTTCTTCTGTCACGTGCACCCCACCATGTTGTTCCACCTCATCACAGTCCTAAAAGCAATGCAGCCAACCACTGAAACTGTGAGCAAGATACTTTCTCTCTTTAAAGTTATTTATATCAACTATTTTGTCACAGAGACACAAAGCTGAGTAACAATCCCTCTTGCCATGCAGGGTTGGACTGTGCTCTCAGCTGAGGGTGCACAAATTTAAGTGAACACATAAAAGTTTAAAAATAGCTGAGTAATCCTATAAGAAGAAAGATTCAAGCAGTGATACCAATGGGACAATACAATAATTTAAAACTTTAAAAAATAATAAGCATTGGAGACAGCACAAAAAGAAAACCATAGCAGCAAAACCACCATTTTAACCATCTATAGAAGCTAAACAAGAATGAACTTTGAACAGGGACTTTGCTAGAAAGACAAACAATGGGATTAGTATGTTTACCCAAATGTTGCTTTTTCCATTAACATATTTTTACCCTGTACTCTGTATCTGGTGGGAAAAAAAAAATCAAGGGTATTGAGAGATGGAAGGGAACAACTCATACCTCCACCAGGAATAATTGCCAGCCTTGTTTCAACCAGGCCCATTTTTGCAGAGGAAGCTAAAAAGAAAGAAAATTAAATAACATCCATGTTATTACATTCAAATATGACAGCTTTAAAAGGTTCATAAAATAAGATACACTGAAAACATTCCGTTTACTAATTAAATTGGTGTCACAAATAGTTTTGAAATCACTTAAAATGATATTCAGTTAGGGAAATACTGTAAACACTCTAAGTGACATCCATAAGGACGGTACACATCTTCTGTTAAAAAATTGTGACGCAGTAAATGCATTTTTGATAATGAAAGACCAGAGCTCCAACTGCATTACTGGAGCTGATACCGCCAACTCATATTTAAAGGCTTATATCCATTAATTATCCAGGATCAGGAAGAGGACTGTGTCTGAAAAGCATGAATTCTTTAGCTGCCTGAGTAGTCCCCGAGATCAAACAGCTTAACGTGTCATATCAGATACGGCAACGTCTCAGGAAGGAGTCTGTATAGTTCTTTCTGACAAATGTTTTTACTGTCTGACAGCTGGACAGTGTTCTCTTTTTGTGTTTGTTTTCATGGACACGTTACAACATCTTAATTATTTCTTTATTTGCAAATCCTCACCCCCTGAACCTGCTTTCTTTCAAATAAATTACATGTACTTTAGCTTTTCAATTTAAAACCCATCTGATCCCAGCAATAGGAAAACACACACACACACACACACATACACACACACACCACACACACACACACACACACAAATGACTTCATCACAAGAAAATAGGGACCTAAAATCGAGTAGAAAAGAGGAAAAAGTACACATGGACAAGTAACTTCAAATCCCAAGGCACAGTCCATACAATTATTAAAAAGGTGAATTACATTGGCTCTACTTTTAATATGCAGTCACACTGGAAATGACAGTGGGAATCAGAGGAACAGTGACAACTCTCTGCTTTCTGCTTCACCCAGTTCCCAATGCCAGCACCCAAGGCTATAGGTTGCATTTACTCTATGGAATACAGTGTCCAGAACCATAAGCATGAAAAATCAGTATACATTCTTGCACCAGTGGGGTAACAGGAATCTGAGCTGTCATGCCAGACAGCATGGGTTCAAATCCTACTCAGTCATTTGTCTGGGCCTTCCCTTCTTCTGTTCCAACTTCCTCCTTACCCCAAATTACCATACTCATATGGTTGCTAGGCAGACTGAGTCAAGTGGTGGGCACTGACTGTTTTCGTTATTTTCATAACCACTTCACACATACTCAGAAAAACATTCAGGAAGAAAGTGAACTTCAAAGAGACTAAGTTATTATCATTGAAACTAACAGTCATTAAGTCTTTGGGTTGAGCACATCCACTGATTAACTTCACATGGAGATAGTCTTTTCTCCCATTTTAGAGAGAAGGAAACAGTTTTAAAAGGGCAGGACCTAAGGTTTAAACTCAGTTGTCTGATCCAAATCCTGTCCCTTCCTACTGCTAAAACTGAGCAACAGTCAACAAAAAGCTCTTCCTTCCTCCCTCCCCTCCCCTTCCTCTTCTCTTTTTCTCTCTCCTCCTCCTTCTCCCTCTCTCCTTTTTGAGAAATGGTCTCACTTATGTGGTCCAGGCTGGCCTCAAACTCATAAGCCCCTTGCCTCAGCCTCCTAAACTTAAAAGACTGTTTTCTTAAGTGGGTATTTTGAATACACCATTAAGTCCAAAAGGCAAATTTAAAAATATATATATTATACTCAACAATACTTAACAGAACAAAATATTTGGAATTGTCTGAAAAGTAGCCCCCCCCACCTTTTATTTGGTACTAGAGATTGAATCTGGGGTCTTGTACATGCTAGGAATGTGGTTTAACATCTAGCTATACACTCCATCCCCCACTTTTTAAAACTTATGTTCTTAGTGGGATTCATTCTCACCTGCTACTCGTATATCGCACGCTAAAGCCAGTTCAAGACCACCACCTAAAGCAAGTCCATCTATCGCTGCGATCGTTGGCACTGGAAGATTAGCTGAAATAGAAAAATTCACACTTCTTCACTTAGATCATTACTTCACTATGTAATTCATTTCAGACTTTTTCTATAAATACATGGTTAAAGGGATAGTGTACAGATTTTATATCCCTTTTACCATTAACAGAATACAAGCATTTTGTCATTCTTCAAAAACTCCACTAATAATTGTACAGTGTTCCACTGCATGAATGTGCAACATCTTTAAAGTTCCTGAATTACTGAATTATTTTCATAAAGATTTTTTGTTGTATTAATGGAATCACAGTTCTGATTTCATAATCTGAGTGCCTAAAGTCTTTTACAAGGTGTTTGGGTCATACAAATTTCAAGATGAAAAAATTTATGCACGCTTGCATAAAAGCCTAAGGCCCTTTATGGGCCACTTTAGAACTAGAATGGCAATCTCATTCAAAGAAGTTGACATCTGCTTAAACAAGAAAGCAGCAGCTCAACTTGTTGCTGAGGCGTCAGCCATGGCCTACACTGCTTAATAAGAAGCACTAGGAGTGGGTTCCACTCTTCCTAGAAAAGCAGCTATGAGAACCCGCCCAAAAGTGTGACTAGCAAGATGCAGCCAGTCACAGAACTCAAAATTAGACTTTCTCGACTGAACTCAGAAGGAGACTATTATTTTAATAAGCATTTTGTAACTTACAATATACAGATTTCATTTTTATAACCTATTCCAAAAGTGACTGATTATAGGAGGTATTCTATGAAGGGGAATGCTTTCCATTAATTCTATTTTGACCATGGGACTATGAAGCTAGATTGTCTAACCTTAATATAGAAACAGAACACGGACTTTTAAAAAATATCATCTCCAACTCGCTTCTGTAAGTATTTTAACAAGTGAAATTCCCCAAGAGAGGCACATTCTTTGACCTCTTTTAAAAATCTACACATTTGCTAAGGTACCCTCTGAATCCTGCTCACTCACATGTAAAGGAATTCAGCACGTTTATTCTGAGATAGCAGTCTGACAAGGCTGGGAAGAGGCACAGGCACACAGCTGCCACCTGAGGCACTCTCAGAAGTGCAAGAAGTGGGCTTTCATAGAGGCCATACTACACTGTCTGTACCTGAGCTAGCATTTGGGGGGTGGGGAGGAGACAAAGGAACTTGAAAGGACAGGACCAATTCAAGATGTGCTTTCCAGCACATTTTGTGGAGGAAAAAAATAACAGAAATATGAGTGTCCACAGTGAGGAAGTGAATTTAATGATACAAATCATATCTACTGAATTTTACCTGAAAAAAAAACTGCAGTCAATAATAAAGTGATATAATGTCAAGTTAACCTGAGTGGTTCCCAAGGGCAGCTCAAGCTCCTGCAAGTGAAATGGAACAATTTTGTTACCCATTCAATCCACTATCTCTCTAATCTTAAATCTCTCCCATCAAAACTCTCCCCAGGCTTGGCTTTAGGCTGGCCTCCCCTTACAGACTAGAGTTAAATCCTTGTCACCCACCCCCATTCACCTGCAACCCAACAAGACTGCTTGCTCCTTACAACAACATTATAATCCTGTCCCATAGCCAGGGGGCAATCCTGAGTCCCCATTAAACACACTTCCTCTAAGATTAGAGACATTACTCCTCCTTGGCATTCCCCTCTGCATTTCCTTGCTTGGTCCCTTGTCTTTCCTGCCTTTCCATCTTCCTCTGGCAATTTCTCAGCCTTCTTCTCTTAATAAAAACTGTAGACGAGGTCTCAATCCCATTCACAATTGTTACCACCTGTAATACAAATAATGTCCACATGTGTACCTCAAACCCAAACTTCTCTCTGAACTATGCCCAAAGAGCCTGTTAGACATCTACACCTACATACTTTGTCATGTTCAAACCAACAACTCCCTAATCCTTCCAGATTCTATCTCAGTTAGTAAGGTCTCCATTCACCAAATCAGTCAAAAAGGTGCCCAGAAATCATCCCAGATGTCCCTCTTTCTAACAGCCTATGTCCAGTTGTCTCCTGAATTTAAACAGCTTGCAAATCTCTAACGCTTTTCTACTGCCAACATCTCCCCAGCCAAAAGCCCCAAGTTAATCTCCGTACATACAATCTGACAACCTCCAGTGCATCTTCCACATTTCTCTAGGGTAATCTTTCTAAAATGTAAACACAGTCATGCTATTATCCTATTTAAAATTGTACAACTGTTTTCTCTACGTTTAAGATAAACATGGAGTACACTTTCAGTGTAGCACAAGAGGCACCTGGTAACCACCTATCTAATCTTTTCTCTACCGTCAGACAGGTGCTCTGTGTTCTGGCCCCAAAATACTTAAAGCGCCTCCCACCCACTCGAGACTCTGCACCTGTGCAAGCTGAGGCTCCACCTGGGATGCCTGGCTAGCTTGTTACTAGTTGTCTTTTAAAGCACTGCTCAAATGCCCCTCCCTGTAGGTTTCTCTGGCACTCTGTGCACCTTCTTCTATCAGACTACTGCACTGTCCACTTGAAACACCCTGATATCAAGTCAAGGCTGCTCAGTAAGATTCTTTCCAATCTGGACAAATCTCAAGGTTTTTCACCATCTCTTCCCCTACTACTTTAAACCTGTACTTTATCTATTTTTATAATTGTTACTAACCTACTGTTTTTAATACTTTTACAAAATATCATGAAAATACATACAATCCTACAAAGCTTCAGAAAAGAACAACTGCGGAGGCCCCAGCAGAAGAGAACCTCAGTAGAATGTGATGCTACCCAATGCTACGTGAAACAGGGATTGCCAGTGAGGGCCGAAGACACTGGGCAAGTAGCTGCTGGGAGCTGGGACACTGTGAAATAAGTACTTGGTCTTCCTCTCTGGTTCCAGACATACAGCTCCTAAAACTCTTGGGATCTCTGGATTATTAACAGTGTCTTCTGTATGCTCATGTTTCAACTGATGTCTGGCTGCCCACAGGTAACTTCAGGACAGGGGCTGATCACAGGAAAGACTAAGCCATGATTAGAGTTGGGTCCTTCAACCCACACCCTCAAATCTTCAGGAAGGTGAGAGGGACTAAATGCTGCGTTTCATCAATCATGCCCTCACAATGAAGTCTCAATGAAAACACAAAAGGACAGGGCTAGATGGGCTTCTGATACCTAAACCACAAAGGCTCTGGGAGGGCTGAAGCTCCACAACCATCCACTTCTTTATCTGGCTCTTCATCTGTACTCTGGGTAATATACTTCAGAATAAATAGGTAAATACAAGTGAGCAGTTCCCTGAGTTCTGTGAGCCATTCTAGCAAATGAATTCCACCCGGTGAGGCCTCCAACTTACGTACCAGTCACTCAGAAGTACAGCTGAGAACACAATGCTTGCAACTAGCACCTGAAATGGGGAGTAGTCATGTGGCAAGAGGCCCTCAGCTTTCAGTAACTATTCCCAGGCAGAGAACATCAGAACTGAATGGAGAACTCACGGCAGAATCACTCGCTTGGTGAGTAAGGAAAAAGCTCCACACATCTGACTGCAGAAGTGCTCCATGTTGTACCGTGTGTATGAGAACAGAAGAAAACCTTTCTCCTACATCTTTATGAGCTGATTCTTCGAGAAAGAGTAGGGATGAAGTGAGTCCAAATGGCCTCCGAGGTCAAGTGCAGACCTAAGCTATCTGCATGGCCAAGGCCAATGCTGGGCTCCAGCAGGACAGAACTCTAGCTTGTGACAAGAGGTGTGGCCCCACAGTCCTCCTGCTTCTGCTTCAGGAAATGGAAGCAGAAAAAAGCAAACTGAGGTGATGCATGTGGAAGAAAATTTTTTCTTCTTATCAAATTATATAGTGAATATGCAGACAGGTCAAAGAAATAAGTTGACTGTAAGCTGCAGAAGTAGTAAGAGGTCACAGCTGTACAAGGCCGAAAGTACAACAGAAAAGACGGGAGATGAGAACCCCTGGCCATCCACAATGTTCGAAATGCCGCCGCACAAAGGGAGCCATCGTCCTGAGGGGGCCAGTGCGGCTTTGCTCTGCATCTTTATCACGTAACAGTCTCAAATAAGTATTATTCTTAAACAGCACACTTAGCCAACAGAACACTAGAATACATTATCTTTAGATGTATAAAATACCATTAAAATAAAAATACTTGATGCATTCTTAAAAAGCACTTGAACCAGGCATGGTGGTGCTGGCAGGAGGATCATGATTTTAAGGGCAGCCTGGACCTGTCTCCATGCCCTCCTTCCCCCAGCATGTATATGAAGTTGTTTAATGAATGTTTCCCCACAATATAAGTAGTAGCATTAGAAACAAAGGTATTATGGTAATAAAATGGTTGGGGTGCATGTTCAGTAGACAGGTTTCAGGAACCACATGACCAGTAGTGTGGAACAGTTCTAGTAGATAAGAAGTAAACAAGGAAAGGGCAGGAGGCATGGCTCAAGTGGTAGAGCGCCTGCTTAGCAAGTGGGAGGCTGTAAGTTCAAACCCCAATACTGAAGAAAGAAAAAAAAAGTAAACAAGGTACAAAGATGGTGACATTGGGTGTGGGAGAGGGCAAGCTTCCAATCAGCTTCAGCTGATTAATTCTGACGTTAGGGAATATAACAATTTCCCCAATGTGATTAAGCTTTCGGGAATTAATAAAAATGATTGTTAAATTTAACAGTTAAAAATGTAAGAAATTAAGTATCTCAAAGGGATAAAAAAAATTTTAGGTCAGGCACAGTAGTCCCACCTATAACCCCAGCTACTTGGGAGATAGATTGGGAAGATCAGGGTTTGAGGCCAACCCAGGCAAAATGGTAGTGAGACCCCATCTCAATCAACAAGCTGAGCAAGGCATTACACATCTGTGATGCCAGTTATGCAAGTCCAAGGCCAGTACCAGGGCCCCCCCCAACAAAAAAATGCAAGATTCTATACAAAAAAATGAGAAGACAAAGAACTAAGAACTTGGCTCAAGTAGTAGAGCACCTGCCTATCAAGTTCATAGCCCTGAGTTCAAACCCCAGTATCATAAATAAATAAATGTAACATTACGACTTAGAAGAAATATGTAACACAAAATGACAAGAAATTTTAAGTTCTTATATAAAAAGAACAAGAAAAATAGGACAATAGCATTCTCAAATCATCAAATAGTTTAATTACTTGGTACTTTCAAATATTAATTAACATAAATTGGCTCTGTGGAAAGCTGTCTACAAAATTTTTCCTACTGAAGAATTATTTAAGTAGAACAGCTTAAGTAACATTCAATATCAGCCATTTTATAATATTATAAATTCTAAAGGTATACATAATTCAGGGCTTTTTTCCAAAAGATGTTTGTTTCAGCCAACTTTTTCAGGAAAATATGCGTCATCTCAAAGCACATGCTGGCATCACAGCTGCCTGACATGCTTGATTTTGTACCTAGTACCTCTATCTACCTGGGCACTCAGGAATTATGCACGTTCAGAAAGACAGGCACCAGTTCCAAAGATCAGGGGGTGGGTAGGGGAATTAACGTGCAGTTGTGCATGAGCACAAAGAACTACACAAGAACTGCACAGTCAACAGGCAGCATCCCGTCCCAACAGTAACGAAGGATTTATGACTCAACACACTACTCAAACAGCAGGATCAGATACTATTTTCAGTTTCATTCCAGGAAATGAGCCAGGTATGACCAAGAAGATAATAATCCTTTGAAATGCTCCTAAAAATATAATTAAAGCAAACAAATAGCTTTTCTATTTAAAGAGGAAAAAGCAGCAGTAAATACAGGCCTCTTACACACTGCAGGCCCAGAGTAACTGGAGCCAGAGCAAGGCAACAGCAGCAGAGTGTCTACTTTCTACTATCCAGGAGATAATACACATAATACAGGCTATTTGTAAGCCTTCAGAAAAATATACACAAATTCCATCATTAAGGGAACATGCTAGCCAGGAGGGGTTCACACCTGTAATCCTAGCTACTAAGGAGGAAGAGATCAGGAGGATCGCGGTTCAAAGCCAGCCCAGGCAAATAGTTCACAAGACCCTATTTAGAAAAAAACCATCACAAAAACGGGCTGGTGGAGTGAGTGACTCAAGATGTAGGCCTTGAGTTCAAACTCCAGTATTGAAAAAAAAAAAAGAAAAAAGGAAAGTGCTGGCATCAAACTTGTTTTTATTTTTTGCTTAAAAAGTTGTGTTCTAGCCTGGAGGTGTGGCTCAAGCAATAGAGCACCTGCCTAGAAAGAGGAGGCCCTGAGTTCAAATCCCACAACAGCCAAAAAAAGAGCCAGGCACCCATGTCTCACATCTGTAATCCTAGCTACTTGGGAGGCTGAAATCAGGAGGGTCAAGGTTCAAGCCAGCTCAGGCAAATACTCTGACAGACCCCATGTCCCAAATAACCAGAGCAAAATGGACTGGAGGTGTAGCTCAAGCACTTAAGAGCACCTGCTTTGCAAGCATGAAGCCCTGAGTTCAAACCCCAGTCCCACCAAATAAATAAATTAAATAAATAAATAAAATTCACGAGGAAAAAAAAAAAGTAGTGTTCCTACATAAAACAGAGAAATCAAGTACTTCAACAGAAAGACCCCCACAGGTAGTATGATCTGAATACTGAAATCTTTCAAGACCAGAAATTAAATCAAAGTTAACTAAAAATTACAGTAAGTTCCTAATTATCCCTAAATTTGCCTACAACTTTGCCCTTTGGCTTAATGTACTTTCTCCCACTCCCATCAAGTCTT